ACAGGGCATCAACACCATCTGGTGCGCTCCCTGCTAAAATAACTTTGCAGCCCTTGGCAAGAGTGCTGATGGGAGCTGCAGGAGAGGAGGTTTCCTTTGCCCCACAGCACTCGCTCCCCTCTCCCAGCGCTCCAGGAACGCCAGGCAGTGCCCACTGTGGATGGCAGAGTGAGCCTGCCCGGGATTCCAGCACAGTCTCAAGTATCCTGAAGTGGTCCTGCCCTGCCGTGCCAGCCTGCAAAGGTCAGAGGAACCAGGTTGTCTGGAACCCAAGCTGATGGTGTAGTGCTTTCAGAACCTGGTTAACCTTGACAATTCCCGAGAAAATAAAGGCACTGTTGTTCCAGCTCTCCCTAATCTTTGTAGAGGACAAACTCTTGCATTGGTACCTGTTCTTTCCTGATCTCTGTCTGCTCTGAACGTTTCTCCATGCTTAGTTGCCTGTCAAGGTAACCCTTCAGAGGACGGGAGGAAATCACTCTTTGCAGAGGCCATCTGTGCTGTGGAGCTGCCTCTGCTGTTGCTCTTGTTGTAGTTACCCAACTGACTAACAGAGGGCTCAGCACCGGGGCTGCATTTTGGATCTGCTGGAAGGAGGGGTCTCCTTTTTGGAGTCAACATCTTGCATTTTGTTTCTTTCAGGGAGCATTGTGAGCGTGGGAGATCCGAAGAAGAAATACACTCGATTTGAAAAAATTGGCCAAGGGTAAGTCCAATCCCAGTTGCTTATGCAGAGCCACGGGTCCCGTGTTTTGATGGTGTAATATCAGGTGTGAAGTCAGGCAAGCTCCAAGCATGTTCAGATGTGTTTAGATGCTTCTGTCTCTCAGTACTGATCAGAACTTGCAACTGTGGTCAGAAGGCATCATCAAAGTTAACTTGATACTGGCAGTATCTTGTCTGTGGCAAGTAGCAGGACCTGGAAAATCTCCTGTCCCTCAAGTGTGTGGCACTTGTTTGCTTATTTTCTTAGGAGAAATAATTTTTCTGTGTCTGAAAATAATACGACCGCACTCAATAAAGGAGAAAAAACTTTATTACCTAAAAGAGCAACTCAGATAACAGTTCTCAATAACATTTCTTTCAGACACTTTGCTTAAAACAGTATTCAGTGGTCAGGCTTATAACCACATAATTTAGAAACCGAAACAGGAGATGAAATAAAAAGCTCTCTTTTCTAGCAGAGGTAGTAAAAAGCAAAAATTCAGTAATAGGCAGAGTGTCGATGCACCTGAGAGAAAAATGTATCATCTGCCTGATGGCAGGTCCTTTATGGATCCTGCAGGTTTTAGGCCTGTACTGAAAGTAATCACTCAGGCTATTCCCTTTTGAAACTCCCCTTTGCTTACTGTAAACCAGATTGATTTGAAATACTTCCTGTGTGAGGAGGCAAGAACAAAAGAGCTTGCCTTAAAAATAGGTATCTGACTTGCATTTTAAATATGGACTGACTGCACCATCAGAGTTTCCTTGGCAGTGCTGTAGTTCCAGGAGGGCTGGCACCATCTGTGTCCCACCAGGATCATGCCGCTGTCAGTGTGGGACAGAAGCTGTGTACTGGCATCAGGAGATATTTTTCTGCCTTAACTATTTGTGAGGTTTGAGCTCAGGGTAGCCTGTTGCTGACCTAGAATGGATCCATGCTGCAGAAGGGCAGGCACATGCTCATGCTCCTTCTCTGGCAAGTTTTATCTTGGATCTCTCTGGTTTGGTAAGGCCCTTGTGGGAAGGTGTCTCTGCTCCATTCATTGTATAAAAACCCCTTCTCAAATTCCAGCTTGCTTTTTGCTTGAAGCTTTGGTTCCTACTGTCATTTGTAAAATGTCAGTGGACACTTGGGGGTGTTCCCATCTCTCAAAAGAGAAGTGTCAGCTGAAGAAGTGAGAGCAGAATAAACATGCATGTGAAGCAGATGACTGCTGTCACTGTGAGAACGTGAGCGTCACCCTCACAATCTTTTATTTTGATAGTCCTAGGAGTGAGCCTTGGAGTACCTTGACAGCTGGTGGAAAGACAAGTGGCCAATACCTGGACTAAAAGGGTATCTAAATTAATTTCCTCCAGCTTTTAGTAGAGCCTGAAGACTGCATGCCCTCCTTAGAGAGGAGTGAGTGTGCTGTCATAACCAGCTCATGCCTGTAATACCACAGGTCAATTTACAGTGATAGGGAAAGATCCTGAAGCAAAAAATCATCAGGAAAGTAATCAGACAGGATACTCAGGAGCACCCCAAGTGCTGCACAGCTGGAGTTGGCATTTCTGTCTGCAGCTGGGCTGGGCTGTGAGGCACTGCCTCAGAAGGTGCTGATGTGCACAGTTAATGCAGGTGCCAGTTCCAGAGCTGCCCACCTCTGCCGTGAGTTATGCTGAAAGCAGGCGGTGGTGGTGGAAGTGAGCAGGTTTTTCGTCACTGCTGATGAGAGCTCTGCAAGGCAGGCAGAGCTGTGGCTGCTCAGAGAACTGCAGGAAGGGAGCGACTGCTTACCTAAGGAAAAGCAACTTGACTGGCACAAAGCACTTCATGGCCTTGTGCAGCTGGTAAGTTAAGAAACAGCCACTTCGCAATGAAGAGTTCTGCTTCACAGGCCTGTGCTGCATAACAGGTCAGTGCTGAGTCCCTGTTTTGTCATGTGTCTCCAGCTCAGGACTGAAAAGGTTGCTGACACTGGAAGAAACTTAGTTAACTGGCACTTGATAAAGAGGATGTGTTTGCTCAAGCAGTGGTAGCTCTTGCTAGCAAGACAAATTAGTGTGGAGCCACGAGCAGGCTGGTTTTGTACTGCACTGCATCACAGTGGCAAGATCTGATAGTGAGCCGTGCACTTCCCTCACTGCAGTAAACCCAAGGTAATGCAGAACCAATTAAAAGTTACAGATCAGAAATGAGTTACTTAGAAGTAAAAGTTCATAATGCAGAATTGCAGAGCCCTTGCAATTAATTCATAGCTTTACTTAAATTACCTTTATCTAAACTCGTCACAGGTGGCCTGGAGCATCCCCAAAACATCCTAATTTCAGGAGCTGTTTTGACATAAAGCCTAATAGGACTTTGCTCAGGAGGATTTTAGCGATTCTGAATAAGTGTTGTTGACTTTTTATGAAAACAAATTGGATTAATCTTGTCAGTTAGCCATAGGAAAATGCATTTGCCTTTATATTGAAAGAATACATAGTGTGCCCAATTAGAGAATTGTTCTCAACGCAGACATAAGGTCTCTGTTGAATTAAACTGCTTCAGAAATATTTCAGCCTGCAGGTAAACAAACAAGGCAGGGAATCATGGGGAAAGGAGCAAACTGATTTTGGCACTTTCAGTCAGTGGGACACTTGCTCGATGTGCATTCCTGCTACAGAGAATTCACACCCTGGCTCTCCTTTGCCTCACTGCCTGTGCAGACATGGGCTTCTTAAATGATGGAAGGAAAGCTGTGGTTTAGCTTAGAAGGAAGCCCTTTAGAAAAAAGGGTTTACAAGCCCCCAGCTGCTTTGAAACCCAAAAGGGTTTCTTCTGAGTGGGGCTTTTGCAGTCCTTATGGGAGAAGAACATCTTGGAATGAGGGGCAGATGGCAAAACACACTGTCCAGGCTGCAGGTGAGCATGCCATTTATTTCTGGTGGCAATACAACACCTGTGTGTGCCACAGAAGCAAAACATGAGCACCATGAAGAGTCTTTCACGTGTCTGGTGCACCAAACAGAAGCAGCTTCTGACGGTTCTTCACACACAAAGAAGCTGTGTAAGGATCCTCTGTTCTGAGTCCCTCTCCATTTGTGTGTGAAACAATAGATGCCTTGACCTGCTGTAGCTGTGACCTCTCAGGATGGCTGGAGAGCTGTTTCCTTGCATGCTGGAGAAAGCTGGGATGAGATTCTTTCCTCAAATGGCTGTCATGTGTTCAGGGTTCTCAGAATGAGAGGGTGGTATTACCCAAGTTTGCCAGATGGATTCAGATAAGAGGTGTGAGAAGGCCCAACTGGACTGTACGTTACATTTCATGGAAAAAACACACACACACAGACATAAAGGAAAAAAGAAAAAAAACCCACCTAAATACAACAAGGCAAAATGGAAAAGATTTCAATCTATTACATTCCAGTTTTTGTAGACACACTCCCCCCTTAGGTTTTGAACTGAAATGGTTTGGTGTGTCCATTGGAGATTTGCACCAACCCTTTTCCTTCATGTTGGACCTCAGTTTTGTCTTGGACACCCTGCATGGCTGAGGGCTGGTGGGCTGCTGTGCTGCTGATTGAAGAGTAAATGAACCCAGGTATTTCCTAAACACTCCAGACAGCAGAGATCTCCTCTCTGGGCTGGCTTTCACTCCCAGGGACTAAACCTTTTCTCAGTTCTTTGCTGCTGTTTTGTTTCTAGGGCTTCAGGAACTGTTTATACGGCCATTGACATCGCCACAGGGCAAGAGGTAAGTGTCAAAAATCCCCACAGATTTTGCAGCTGTTGAGTGCTTTCCCCTCTGGTCTGAGCTGTGGGGGGAGCTTTGGGTGGCCAGTAGGTCTTTCCTGCAAAAGCTGTTCCTCTGAAGCCTGTGCTGGTGTCAGCTGGCAAAATCCATCATCTGCTGTCTTCAGCTTTTCAGTGAAGGCTCTTTAAGGGCAGTGTGGTTCTGTGCCTCAGTAACTGAACACTTGCCATGGCCATGCTTTCCAGCAGTGCTGGAACTGAGGTGTTGATAAATGCCTGAAAAGGTGCCTGCGGATTTCTAGGATCAGTAAGAGCTTTGGTGTCTCTGTGCTTGGCTGGATGCTTCACCCATAATTTTTAAGGCCAGGTGTAAGAGATTTATTTTTTACTTACTCTGTCTTCAGAACAGGTGCTCTCTGCACTGTTGTTGGTCCCACCCTGGTACCATGTTACATAATCCCTGAATTTTTTTTTTTTTAATGGAGAGAGATCTGTTGAGAAATCCCAGCAAGCTTTTGTGCTGATAAAAAGTAGATAAGTTTGATTGCCAGTGTAAATGTATTGGTTTAGAAATTGCTGCCTGTCTGTTCCCCAGTGTGCTGGAAGTTGTGCTTTTACAGAGAGTGCTGGTTCAGATGTACAGTTTAGCTCTGTATCTGCAGCATAAAATGTGCCTGTGCATGTGGCCACAGATAGGTTAGCAATACAACTTGTAATATTGAAAGATCTGTCACGGTGAGACAGGTCACATGAAGGTGGTCACAGATTCACCTCTTGCTGTGAGGAATAAGTAGCTTCCTTACGTCGCTTAATTTCAGAAAGACTTTGTCCATATTAAGTACCAGAAAGGAGGAAGGCAGTGGTATCTTCCAGAGAAGGACACTCTGGCTCAGTCTTAATTACTAAATCTATTGCATCAACAAGCTGATGGCGACTGCCATTATTCAGGCCCAGGTTTGGACAGTAATAGTGTTTACCATTTCTTCCATTATGTGCTTGATCTTCAAAGGATAATTAAGGAGAGATCATGTTTGGGGCACAGTTTTGTGTTTCGGTCATACTGCTGGTAAGAGTAGAGTGGTGTGTTGCTCTGGTGTCAATGATAGCTCCTCACAGTCATCCTGTTAGTAATGAAGTGTCTTGGAGGATCCCACTGCTCTTTGGGGCTCCAGCTCCAGATTCCTGAGTTATCCTTTCTGGCTGTCAAGAAAGACAGATCTGAATCTTACTGGTAGTTTCTCATCCACCTGCAGTGATACACTTGCTAACTGTGCTTACATTGGGGTTTCCAAGGGGTCTAAATCCCTAAGCCCTCCTTGTAACCCTGGGCATATCCCTAAAAATACCAAAGCGTGGATTATTTCCTTTTAAACTGTGACAGTAACTGCAAGTGTAAAGTGTGGTAACAGATGTTCTTTACAAGAGCAAAAGCAAGAAGTTGGAAAGTGCTAGGATTGTTTTTTTGCTGTGGAACCGTAACGATCTTTTTAGGATGGCATAATGTATGTCTGTGTTTGCTTTGTTGAACAACCAAGAATAGCAGCAGTTGCTGATACAATCAAAAATCATATAATTACACATTCCATGTTCATTCTGATCTTGTGCAACAGACCACTCAGGTTAATGGTTTTCAATGTAATTTTAGGTGGCCATAAAGCAAATGAATCTCCAACAGCAGCCCAAAAAGGAACTAATTATCAATGAAATCCTGGTCATGAGGGAAAATAAGAATCCCAATATTGTTAACTACTTAGACAGGTAAGTAGTTCTGGTATTATCAGGTGAATGTTTGTTTACACACTGCAAGCCAATGATCAGAAAACTCCTTTGGTCACTGGCAGAGCTCTTTATTATTTCTCTGCTCATCTCCAGTGGATGGGAGGAGTTTGCATTGGCTCTGCTTTAATCTTTTCTGGCATTTGTGGTTTGAAGCCTTGTTTTCAAAAACCTGAATCAGACATATCTTACTTAATTGAATGCCAGTTCACTGCCTCCATGTTGTTCTGGGGTTTGCTTTTTTCTATGTCTTAGGTAGAAATTATTTCCTTTGGGCTTTTCCCAATAATTTTCCATTGCTGTGGACACCAGGAAGACTAGATTCTTGTTTCCAGAAACACCTAATTTGCCAATTTTTAAATTTTCTTTCCTGTTTCTGGATGTATCTTTTTGCAAGTTTCCAAACACTTGACCAACTCCTGTCCTCAGTGGTGCCCACCCTCCTGTCATGGATGACTCTGAAAGTTGTGTTGCCTTGTTCCCAGAGTTAATGGTGGAATTTATGAGTTAAGATGGTGAACTGGCTGGTGGCATGTGCTGATTCTCACTTTATCTTCACCATTACTAAACTGCATTTTTCACTTGCTTGTCACCTAAGACATCTTCTTTTTCCTGGGTGTGCCTCTCCCATTTAGACTGCACAGATTCCAAGTACTGTAGAACCCAGAAGGAATGTCCTTTATTCATTTTATTCCGTCTTCACTTAAAAGTGAGCTGGAAACAAGAATCAGCTGTAGAGCTATGATTATTGGGTAATTTAGCTGTGCACATTCATCTCCACACCGCTGTTTTCTCCTTCCAGCTACCTTGTGGGTGACGAGCTGTGGGTGGTGATGGAGTACTTGGCTGGAGGCTCTTTGACCGACGTTGTCACCGAGACGTGTATGGATGAAGGACAGATAGCTGCTGTCTGTCGGGAGGTGAGGGGCCCCCCTTGTGCTTTGGTTTGCATGGACAGGGTGCTTCTTCTGTTTCTGTGTTGCTGTTACTATGCAGAGAAGAAAGGGCACGTCCACTGCAGCAGTGTCATTCTGTCTGTGTTTGTGTGTAGCAACAACTGACGTGTCTCTTTTAAAGCTGATGCCTTCACTGAGAAAGATGGGACTGTAAGAGTGTTGAAGCAGCAAGCTCTTCCTCTGGACAGCACCGTGTTCTGCCCAATACTCTCCATTCCCTTGGAAAGGGAACCTCATAGAGCCATTTCAGTTTTTGTGTGATGAAATCACATTATGAATTTTTAACCCTCCCGTTTCTTATTTCTCCATCAGTGCCTGCAAGCCCTGGATTTCCTTCATTCCAACCAAGTGATTCACAGAGACATCAAAAGTGACAATATTCTTCTTGGGATGGACGGATCTGTCAAATTGAGTAGGTGTTCTTGGTCAAGTGCAGTGTTCCTGGCATGTGGTGTGGGGCTGCTTTGGAGTGACTGCCAGTTCCCCAGAAGAGGTGTTTGTGGGCGTGCTGTGAGCTAAGGGCACAGCTGCAACGTGCAGAGAGGTCTAGGGAGGAACAAGGTGTCAGGAGTGGCTTTGGTTTGTGTGTGTCCCTTCCAGAGGGGAGGGAGTTACAATCTAAAGCTTCAAGTGAATGAATAAAAGCCACTGTGTGAAACTTGAGGGTTTCTTTAAGAGGCCAGTTCTGTATTTCCCTGGCTACAGCCCTGAGGAAACAGAGCACGGCCGCTTTTCCAGCTTGATTCAGCTCTGCATTCTCAGACTTAGAGTGGGGAATTCTTTTGCTTGCTTTCATAATTCAAACTGGCTTCAACAGTGTTTGTTTTTCTCCTCAGCTGATTTTGGCTTCTGTGCTCAGATCACTCCAGAGCAGAGTAAACGGAGCACAATGGTGGGGACTCCTTACTGGATGGCACCAGAAGTCGTAACAAGAAAAGCATACGGCCCCAAGGTGGACATCTGGTCACTTGGGATCATGGCAATAGAAATGGTGGAAGGAGAACCTCCCTACCTTAATGAAAATCCTCTCAGGGTAAGGTGAAATACTGTCAGATAGCACTGTCTTTCTAGTCTGTGCCATATTTTGTCTTACATGAGACAAAATCCCATTCACATCAGCTTGAACTAGTTCTGTGAAGGCCCACTTCTAGAAATGTTCCTGGAGCACATCAGCACCTGCTGTAGCTTTGATTGCATCACTGGGAGAACCTTAGAAGAGAAGTGACATGTGCCAGTGCAGAGACTTGCCATTTTGGCCTTCAGCGGTGCTTGAAATTTGTCATGCACTTTTTGAGCTTCCTTTGAGCTGTATCTCTGAATGACAAGAATTTTTCAGTGGCAAGTTTCTCCAGTTGAAGAACTGTGAAGAAAAGCATTGCAGCTTTACCTGCAGGCACGGAACTCTCTGGAGGCAGTCTCAGCTGCCTCCAAACAGGAGAGCTTGTAAGCAAGACTGGTTTTTGCAGCAAAGATTTTTAGCTGATGGCACACAGTAGTTGTTATATTTCTTGAAAAATGTAATGAACATGTTTCTTTCATAGCCCAGCCACTTTCTCCATGTCATCAAGCCTGAGCTTTCAATAATCCAACTACCCAAACCTCCTGTTTCTTGCCTGGCAGTTTCTGGGATGGGGACATCATTAATGCATTTACTTGAGTATCAGAATTAGCAGAGGGTTACCATGGGGATGGAATTACTCCTTTTTCTGATGAAACCATTAAAAGTTTTTCTTCTGCCACATAAGTGGAGCTGATCTGGAATGTAAAGACTGCTGAAAGACATAGTTGCAGGTGGCTCCTGTCTACCCAATTATGCATTTTCATCATAATATATTTGTGCATGCTACTTCATGTTTCTGTGTTGAACATGAGGCTCCAAATGTTTCTGCTTCTTTATCCAACAGTAAGATGGTAGATTTCTTTTTTTTAATCAAGAATAGAGCAAAAAACTTGATGACTTCTGTTTTGTGGAAGTGTACTTTAGGGACCAGTGAACACTGCAGAGATGCATTTTATGTAATAATCTTTTGAAATAATATATTCAGACCACACTGATTCTTTAAAAATAGTTTGTAAAGCTGGTGTCAATACTTGGAGAAGCAAAATGTGTGTTTGCTGATGTAGTTCCTTCTGACTAGGTCAGCCAATGAAATCAGCTGTCAAGGCAAGATCATTTTGATGTTGGAATAGCTGTGACTGCATCAGGATTTTTCTTTCTGTTGGTGTAGAAAGATCATCTCCAGCCCTCTGCCAGGGAAGAAAACGTCCACTGGAGACCAGAGCTTAAAAACTGGTGTCACTGTGAGCAGTTCTGGGTACGAATGAAACAGTGTGCTGTTTTTTCTCCAGGCACTGTATCTGATAGCCACAAACGGGACCCCGGAGCTGCAGAACCCTGAGCGACTGTCGGCTGTGTTTCGAGACTTCCTCAACTGCTGCCTGGAGATGGACGTGGACAGGCGAGGGTCTGCCAAGGAGCTTCTGCAGGTGAGATGGGAAGTGGCTGCAGGGGAAACAGCTGCCCCAGGTATCGGTTTTCTTGTAACCAGAGGAATCCTTCTTGAGCCTGTGAGGAACTGAGTTTGGAAATTAATGGTTCTTTTCTTCTTCTTCTTCTTTTTTTTTTTTTTTTAATTCCTTTGGGCAGCATCCATTTTTAAAATTAGCCAAGCCCCTCTCCAGCCTCACCCCTCTGATCATTGCAGCGAAGGAAGCGATTAAGAACAGCAGCCGCTAGCACTTCAGGTCGGCTTTCTACCCTGCCAGCTCGGAGCAGGACTGAGAACACAGACTCTGTAAAACCTCAACTCTCGTGCTGCGGGACAGATGGATGGATGAACAAACCAACGGTCACAGTCATGGTGGTAGGACCACCCCAGTTCCTCAAGGAGTAAAAAAAATTATCATTTGTCTTCTTCCTGCTTTCTGGCTCCTTAATTTATTTTTAAGATGAAATGGGGCTAAGGACAGAGAGGTAATGACAGAAAATGCTTTGCTGCCTCAATCATTTCCAAGGTAAAGCAAATTCAGTTGGAAGATTCCCTTCCTTCTCACCCTGTGAATAAGCTGTACATTCACTTTTAAATTGTCAGTTCTTTCTTAATGATGTAAAGTCCTGTTTATGGGGTTTTTGGTATGGTTTGGAATTAAGAAGGGCAATTCTTCATTCATCAACTCCAGACTGCACTGCCTTTTGAATACAGCCCACTCACCAGTTTTTGCCCAGTCATGGTACTTCTAGATGAGGAAGAAAGTGCAATTGCATTTCCAACCAAAAAGGAACGAAGAGTGGGGCAGACAAAACATCCTGTGGAGATACAGGCGTTCAGCTGGGACTGTGTAGTGTTTTGGTTCTTGCCAGTTGGATCTGTATCACTAACTGCAATCTCTTTGCCTGGATGAGAGTCTTACTCAGCTGAAAAAGCAGAAAGATCAGTTGGTTGCTCGGAAAGGGCTCGTCTGATGCAAAGCTGCCACAGCAGTGGGAGGTGAGAGCAGGCCCAGCCTTGCCCAGTGCTGAGCTCCAGCAGAGCCCTGGCAGAGCACACAGGGCAGCCTCAGCATTGTAGTGGCAAGGGGCAGCAGCCCGGCCTTGGGTGCTTGCCTCTTCCTGGGACTGGACTGATCACCCCGTCTCAGAGCCAAACTGGGTGTGGGCTGCTCCCGAGGTGAATCGTGGCCATGCTGAGAAATGTGCAGCCTGGTGGGATTTGCCATCTTGAGTCTCTGCAGGAGTAGAGAAGGGCAAAACAGAGCGGAGCGGTCTCTTCTGAGGATGCCTGCTCTTCTCCTGGTTGTCTTGTAGCTCCTGGGAAAGGCTGGGAACGTCTGCAGCGCTCTCAGCAGAGGGGGAAGGAGCTGGGCTGCTCCGCAGGCTCCCACACAGGTGAGCATCCTTTAGGCACAGGAATTCTGCTGTGGGAACCAACACTGCCCCGAGGAGCATCCTGCGCAGTTCAGATCTGCAGGAGCCGGCGCAGCTGCCAACTCCGGAAGAGAGCGCCGTGGAACCTGGAGTTGTGCACTGAGCCAGAGCAAACGTGTGAAGTGCGGAGTGGATTGCAGAAATATCTCGAGGCACCAAGCCAGCCCGCTCTCTGCTGTCCGGCATGCAGCAGGCACTGCGCAATGCAGCTCTGAGCTGCTGGGAGGAGGGAGTCGGGGCCGTGCCTGAGGACTGTGCTTGACTAGTCAGCGGATTTGGAAGGGAGCAGAATAGTTTCAGTATGCAATTTGTGTTTTATTTATTAATTTCTGAAAGGAAGACGCAACGTGGCTTCACTCAGCAAAAGCATTTGCACGGCGCATTTGTTGCTGTATTTTAGGAGTACAACTCACGCAAGACCTTTAAAACAGCAACTGAAGCAACACGCACCCAGTGAGCAAAAAATCCCCACAGTAACACAGCTTTCTGCTATAGATCTTCATGTTCTGGCCTGGTCCTGCAAAGGGCTCAGTAGCCTTTAAGGTACTCACTGCCTTCACATCTTGCCAGCAGCAAGAAAGGGTGCTTGGGCTGGTCTTGAATCAGGCCATGAGCTTGTTTGACTTTGGCTTCCTGTTTAGTTGCAGCCTTTGTGTGGCAAGTGTCCTTACTGCTGCAGACTGACCCACACTCGCTCACACTGTCCGTCCCAGTGTCTTTGGCTGAGGCAGCAGATGGAGACAATGCTCCCTGAGTTACCACTGCTAAGTAGGATTAACTTTTCCTGATTTCCTGGGGAGCACAACAGGTACAGTTTTTTAGATGGTCTGATAACATGCCAAGGTGAGCAGCTCCGGTTTCCTGAACCAGGGGAACCGCAGGGGAAGCCAAGGGAGCCTCCAGGAGCCCGCAGCTGGTGCAGCAGAGGCTGACGGGACCCGGGCAGGCCAAAAGCAACCAAGCTTTGCCCCCATAAAGAAACCCCAGCAGGAGCAGGCACAGCAGATGGTGAGCACAGCTGTGGGAGAGGAACCCCTCCTCTTAGGGCCAGAGCTGGCAGAGGGGGTGAATAGAGGGAGGAGTATCTGTCAGCCTTCTTTGCTTCTGTCTGTAATTGTAGGACCAGTTGCTCTCCAGGAGCTCAGCCCTCTGAGCTGGAAGACAGAAGTGGGAAGCAGAATGCAGCCCCCATCATCCAAAGGGAAATGGCCAGCAACCTGCTACACCACTTTGATGCTCACAAGGCTCTGGGGCGGGATGGGATCCACCCAAGGGTACCGAGGACCTGGTGGAAGAGCTCATTTTGCATCACTCACCAGCAGTCCTGGCTAAGGGGAAGGTCCCAAGTGACTGGAGGTCAGCAAATGTGACACCGACCTACAAGAAAGGCCAGAAGGAGGATCGAGGGAACTACAGGTGTGTCAGCCTGACCTTGGTACCAGGGAAGGTCATGGAGCAGATCATCTTGAGTGTCATCACACAGCACATACAGGACAGCCAGGGGATCAGGCCCAGCCAGCGTGGGGTTGTGAAAGGTGGGTCCTGCCTGACCAGCTTGATCTACTCCTATGACAGCATGACCCGCCTGGTGGAGGAGGGAAAGGCTGTGGATGTGTCTACCTGGACGTTATTAAAGCTTCTGACACCATTTCCCACAGCATTCTCCTGGAGAAACTGGCTGCTCATGGCTTGGATGGGTGTGCTGTTCCCTGGGTAAAAAAATGACTGGATGGCTGGGCCCAGAGAGTAGTGGGGAATGGAGTTTCATCCAACCAGGGCTGGTTACCAGTGCTGTTCCCCAGGGCTCAGTACTGGGGCCAGTTTAATATCTTTATTGATCATCTGGACAAGGGGATCGAGGGATCAAGGGCACCCTCAGTTTGCAGATGACACCATGGTGTGTGGGAGTGTTGATCTTCTGGAGGGTAGGAGGGCTCTGCAGAGGGATCTGGACAGGCTGGATGGATGGGCTGAGGCCAACTGGACAAGGTGCAACAAGGCCAAGTGCCAGGTCCTGCCTTTGGGTCACAACAACCCCCTGCAACTCCAGGCTGGGGCAGAGTGGCTGGAAAGCTGGCCAGCAGAAAAGGACCTGGGTGCTGGTCAATAGTGGCTGAACGTGAGCCAGCAACGTACAACTACCTGACAGAAGATTGGAGCCCGGGGGAAATTGGTCTCTTCTCCCAAATAACAAGTGATGGGACAAGAGGAAATGGCCACAAGTTGCACCAGGGGAGGTTTAGGTTGGATATAGAGAAAATGCTTTACTGAAAGGGTGGTCGAGCCTAGGAACAAGCTGTGCAGGGCAGTAGTTGAGTCGCCATCTCTATAAGTATTTAAAAGACGTGTAGATGTGGCACTTGGGAACGTGGTTTAGTGGGGGATCGGCAGTGCTGGGTTAACAGTTGGACTCGATGAGCTCAGTGGTCTTTTCCAACCTGAACAATCCTGTTCTATTCAAAAGACTTTGTTTCCTTCTTGTGAGGTCCCATTTTCTCTGTCAGCTCAAGTTCTGTGTCTGTGGGAGAGACTTCCTTGTGAAAGAGTAATTCTGGCTGGAGATGGGCTGCCCTCCACGTGTAAAGCATTCATCAGAATGAAACGTGTGTATTCCTGTAAGAAGTGAAGAAATGAGTGACTGTTTCTGTTTCCAGTATTGCTTTTATTTTTTCCTACTCACGAAGGAACAGACAGCCGTCCTTTAAAAGGAAAGCACTTTGTAATGGCACATGTTTGCTGGACATACAGTCTAAATACTTCTGTTGACAAACAACACTATTTGATCGGAAGGGGAATTCCTATTTATTTTCTTTACCTGTAAGTATTTCAGCATCTCTGCTTCAAAAAAACCCCACCACCATAACTTCCCAGAAGATAACGGATTTTAAAAACAGGAAAATCAAATGGTAGGTGTTTTTTTTAATTAATCAGTGTATGCCCCAGCATACAGAATATTGTTGGCACTGACTTTTTAAAGACAACCGCTGTCCTAGGAGGCCTTAACTTTTTATTTTATTAAATACTGTATTTATTTTTCTTTGCATCAGCAAAGCTAGGGATTTTTCTTCTGAAATCAATTCCTGGGAGGCAGACAATATTCAGCAGAAATAATCTCTGCCAGTGGCTTTTTTCAGTATGGACTGTACTTGCCCAGCTAGGGCTGTGGGACATGCAGGGAAATGCACCTCCAGTATCCGTGTGGCTCCGTGCTTGAGACAGTCTCTGGCATTAAATTTTCACTCACTAGGTACTGAAAGATTGCAGCTGTGTTTGCATCCTCCCAACTTGGATAGGAAATGTAGAAGAGACGTAGATATATTAAAAAAACCCAACGACACCAAACCATAAAAATCCAGTCCTGAAGTGGTCACGTCTTGTACATGATTTACAGGCTCACAGAGCATATTAGGATTGGCAATAGCATGGCCTTGCAGAAAGGAAAGAGACAAATATATCTCTGGAACCATCTTGGGCTTTCTGACTGCTATCCTCAGATTAAGCAGTTAGATCTGTTTTTCTGAAGTATTAGAAATAGGCTGTTTCTGTTGCAATATAAAAACTAAAAAAGTTTCAGACACTTCCATTCCAAGGTTTTAAAGGATTGGTTAATTGTCTTCATTTTTAAATTTAACAGTAAAATACCCCATCCAAGAGCTTGATCATGATTGCCATCCCTGCAGTGAAGATGTGTGATAATGAGCCGATAGTGCGCTGTGGTTTAATGTGTTTTGGGACAGAAGCATGATAGCAGTAAAGTCAGGGAAGTTTGAGAAGCACAGAAAAGTTTATTTATTTAAGAAAAAAAGAAAAAAAAAAAGATAACCATACCTATGTAAAATTCCATACAGCTCCTGCATGCACTCCTGGGAACCTGCACGGGGGTGGATCTTACAGTGCTCTCAGGGGTGGATCCCAAACTTGGGCTGGGGTTGCATTCTCACTTCTGTGTCCAGCGCTTTTGTAAATATGTGTGTGTTTGTTCTTCATCTT